TATGTGTAATTTAAATGAAAATTTTAGCTAATCCCATTCTTTATGTTTTAATTGTGTTTAGTGAAACTTTTGCTTATACAGACAAAACTGGTAACCATGGCAAGATACGGTTCTCAAACTTGCTTCTTTTGGTAGACTTTGGGGCTCTGGCTGCCCAGCACTTGCTGACCAGATATATTCTCTGCTTCAAAGAAACTGGCTTGGTGACTCTGTCAGTCTCAGCTCTCAAGTGTTGCAAGATTCGAGTCCCACTGAATTCTCTTTAAAATGCAAAAGGCATGGAAAAAGCTGAAAGGCTGCAGTTCTTTTGTGCTGTTGGCATGTAAGCAGGGGAAGACAGTTAGCTGGGCTAGCTCTGCCACCTGCAGCTCAGAGCCGGCAGAACTGCAACACTTTCACCAGCTTATAACAAACCTTCACTTCTGGAAATAAAAATCTTACGGCGACAAGAGATTTCATTGAAGAGTGTAATTGCTAATTAAATTAGCAATAGAATACATAAGATTATGGTATGCAAAAGTAAGGTAAAAGAGAGCTTTCGCCTTGGTCTTTCTGCTAATCTTCACTGCTAACAGAATGAGCAGCTAGTCTCAGAAAATAATTAGAACAAAAATCATAAGGCTTAAACCATTCTTGGTGTGACTGGAGTGATCTCAGAGCTGAATTTGACTCTCCCTACCTCTGAAGGCTGATTTTGGCTCTGCTAGTAGCTGAACAGGAAATCATGTGTGGATCCATATTCTCAGAACCCTCTAACTCCTGTATATAGTGCCTCCAGTATCTCCTTATATAAATCCCTTCTTAAAACACACTGGGTTTGACACATTTTGAAATGTTAGTTTTCTCCTCAAAAAAAAAAAAAAAAAAAAAAACCACAAAAAACCAACCACCCCCACCCCAAAAAAAAACCCAAAATGAAAAAACTCAAAATCCCCCCCCAAAAGTTATTAAAAAAAAAAAAAAGTCAAATCCTTCCAGATGCGTTTTACTAACACAAAGAGCCATGTGCTTTATTGTGTTCCTTACTTTCACTTCCTTGAGCCCCGAGGGTATAACATTACTATTTTCTCAAGTTGGATCCAAGCCCTGTGATTGATGAATTGTCCATAGGATCCATATGGAACTCTAGCAAAATCCCTGACACTCTATACAGCACCAAAATGTGTGCATGTGTTCCATGTGTACGAGGCACCCACAGATTTCTCATGCCAGTGAGTTGCCTCACTGTAAGGCACTGTGTTCATCTCTAGTGCTGGATCCACCTCACAGCTATGGCAGTGAAATAGCAGTGATTCTGCAGTAATGGACAGATATCGTTGTGATAAGTTCAAATAAAAAAACATGGCTGGAAAGTAATTCTAATAATATTGGGTTACTAAGCATCATGTGAAGTTCATTCAGTAGGTTTTAGGTCTGTGGAGGGAAAGTATATAATCTATTGTGATACACATTATTCCAAATCTGTTTTAAATGGTAAAAGAAGCATAATTTTTCTTTTAACTTCGGGCTTCTTTTAATTGCCCACACACTTCAGGTATCTTCTAGTGTTTGAAACATCCACGTGGAGCCTTATGTCCTTCTGAGGCAGTAAAAGCAATCAGATAGATCAGATCCAACATAATTTAGGGCATTTCACCTGGCAGTTGACAGATGTGTGGGCAAATGAGACCCACCTTTTATGGTACTCTAACATGGAGCTTGGAAATATCTAACAGAAATATCTAATAATATCTAATATCTAACAGACAAGTGTTGCCATTAAAGGTTCTGGGTTCCTAGAAATGTAAAAATTATTTCTGTGATCATATATTGTCACTGCACTAAAGTCTTTAAGTCTTTAGGGTATTTTCCTGTGTGACTTTTTGAGCTGTGCAGAAAATGCTTGTAGAATAGATAGGTTTGTTGATGTTCCAAATGCTATTATTATAGTACTAAAGATTTGTACATTCTAATATTATCCAATTCTTGCAGAAAATGTTAAAATAGATGTTTTGGAAAGGAATCTCACAGAATAAGATTAGGTGATCTATGGGGAATAGGCAGTTTAAGCCTCATGCCAATGAATGTAGGAATATGTAAAACATTTAGTTGGCTTTGTTTTCAAAAGTCACTTTGTAAAATGATGCAGTCAAACCAGCTTGCAGGTTACCCTGCTCACTAGCAGCTAAAGAAGGCAGGTGGTTTTGGCCAATCTAACTCTTGCAGGCATCATGTCCCCACATTTTTAATCTGGTATTTTGCAGAAGCCAAGTTACTGATTGTCACAGGCAAGCTCCTCAGACTGAAGATAATTGGACCATGATCTTTTCCTCTTTCAGGGATTTGGTTTTGAGTCACTTTAGGTTTCAAGTAGGTCTCAAATGTCACTGAAAAGGACTATGAGATTTATTATCAATCATTGTTAATCCAGTTCATTTTACATTTGTACCCAATTCACATGAGCCAGACACTTTTAAAATGAACTTGTCACTACAGAGGTCAATGCCCTCATATTATTCACACATCCAAAGCTGACCTTACAGTTTTCATACTTTAGAAAGGGAAATGGTTGTGCAATCCCCAAAATCAGAAGAGGAATTTATGTGAGTGCATACACCTCCCAGATACCCAGAAGATGAGACCGTCCTATGCTCTAGTGTAGGGGCCCCAGTGCTTGTCATTTTGGGTCCATACGTGTGAGATCAATCAGGCATTGCTACATTTTGGGTCTGTATTCCATTTTAATCATGTGTGTGAAGAGAGATTATAGACAGGATTAGCATTCAAGATATCTACAGGCAGCAAAGGCAGCATAGTTCTCCTCAGTGTGCATTACAGTTAGAGCACAATAGGAAGCATCTTTGCCAGATGATAAAGAAAAAACACTCTCTTTGTTGCCAACAATAAATATATACAAAGGAGTAAATGTGTCATGTATAAAGTATCCCTAAGGAAATCTTGGAAGACCCTACATGTATATTTACATACTTTTAGTCCCAGCAGTGGTAGAGCTACGTGAGTGTACTGCACTGCCCTGGCTAACTAGTTTGTTAAGAATTATCACAGCTAGCTTTTTCGTGCTAGTTACTATCTTCTCATAATGAGACAATTTAGGCACTCCTGCCAGAACCCAGACTTTTGAGAACCAAAACAATAGTGTCCGTTATGATCACAAATCTGTCTCACAATCACGCACAAAACCTGAGCAAATGCCTTCAGGTTTCAGAATAAATTGAATAAGAACACAAAATACAACACCTCTTTCACAGCGTAAACAGGATCCTGCACATACTTTAGGACCTGATACTGTTAATTCTTGACAGAATATTGAACCAGAGGAAAATATGAGCCTAAAGTGCACAGGCTGATAGCAGCTCTCTTTTTATTAGATTATCTTGCAAATATTTATGTACAAAAATATATGTAAAAAGTCTCCATAAGAAAAAAGTCAATGAGGCAACTGCAGATTCAATTTCTGCAGTTGGAAAAAACAATTCCTCATGCTGAAGCTCTTCATTCTCCCTGCTGCTTTATGTTATCTCTGTTTTAACTGCTGTTAATGAAAGGCCCATCAAAAGGCATTGCCAGTACATAATAATATTCAAATGCTGAATTAATCTCTCAGTCCTCATGGCAGCTCCCTTTCAGCTATTTTCCCTGCATACTTTGCATCGCCATTTATATGAATCAGAGTAGGGTGCACATGGGGAGAACAGAGCAAACATTGATTGGCCCTGCAATCCAGAGAGAAGAATTTGCCTCATGCCTTACATATTTGTAAAAGCATGAAATGAAAGCATCGCCTGCTGAAGTAAATCCATGATGCTTCTTCAGGAAGGCTTGATAAAATTAAGTAAATAACTCAAAAGTTACACCTTTCTGCAGTCGCCTTTCTAAGTTCTAATAATTGGACCAACTTGTTGCCTTACTTCTGTTGGTTAAAAAGCCCCAAACTTTCCCCTACTTCTAGAATTGCTTCTGCTTTGAAAAGGGACTAAAAAGGTCGTGCAAGATCCATGTTTATTCTGTGTCAGCTATTTCCTTATCAAATGTGCTCAGCAAGTAAGGAACATTTTCTGCCTTTGTGCCCTGCAAATTTCAGGTGGAACCTAGGGGTTCAAAATCCACCTGGATTTTTTCTTCTCATGTAGGATGACCAAAAAACAAGAATCCTGCAAGCAAGAGTAAGCCCTCAATTATGTATGTGCAATTCTGTAGTCTTCTGTGGCTTTGCATAAGGTTTAACTGACTGGAAATGATTTTGTGGTGATAAACAGGAGGGAATAGAAACCAGCTCACTGGTTTTTATGCTAGATCTGCTGTGCTAACAGGAGCAGAAAGCAGTGATTTTAATTAAGTGAACAGATAGAAAATATACAAGACTATTTAAAAAAGGTGTTTGCTTGAAATTCCATGTTTTCAGAAATCTCCAGCTTTCACACAGTAGAGTGTTCAAGCTGACAAGGAAAATAAAATGCTTCTCTTTTTTCTTGGACATGTCATTCATGGTGGAAAGAGAATGTATAGTCCTCATAACAAAGGAACAAAATTACTTCAATTATTTTACATGCGATAATAACATAAAAGGTCATTTATGAGAAGTCTTCATGTGGAGTGCAGCAGGTCAGAAGAAGATCACTGTGTGTACATTTTGCTGCATGGGAATGATAACCTGCTATGGGCATTTCATTATTTATTAATTCATCTTTGCAGCTTTGGCAATCAAGCATGAAAATTTTCTACTCTTCTGAAACCTCTGCGGTCTGGAAAACCAGAGTTGAAGTTTATCTGATTTTTTTAACTATTAGGTTTTAATGTTTAAGATAGCAAATAGTGAGTAAAACTTTTCTTAAATTCAGTTTTGATCCTACAATGCCAGAGCAGATTAAACTGAGTCATACAAGGCATACTCTGTTAGCAAGGGTAAAAAAAAGTCAAAAATATATTTTCCAGCTACGTAAACACTGATCAACTGAGTCTTTGCTTGGATGAAATAATTCTCTTCTGACTTTTTCTTTCAGTTGTGTGTAATACTGGAGCCAATGCAGGAACTGATGTCAAGACATAAAACTTATAATCTAAGTCCTCGAGACTGCTTGAAGACTTGCTTGTTTCAAAAATGGCAGAGAATGGTGGCCCCACCAGGTATGTTTCATTTCCAGTATTTTGCCTATTCTATAGTTAAATTAATATAGAAACAATGGGGAAAATTACTTACAAAGAAAAGTAATAAGAATTAGCACTGTTCCAAAAGTAAGCCTGAAAATGATTCTGAAGTTCTATGATTTCAGTCTGACCCAAGTGATTTATAGATGTGCATGTTCAGATGGTTTCACTGACTAGGATATAATTTACTACAAAAATATGTGTAGATGGAATGCAAAATGCCTACTGGCTCCATTAGAATTCATCATTTGTGTAATTCAGCTTCCTGCTGTGACTCTAAAATTACAGCTACAATTCATAATTAATTGTCTTTGAGACTAATATAATGTTATTTACAGGCCTGAACCTAATCTCCTTCCTCTTACACCTCAAAATAATAATTCTTTCTTTTTTAAGATTATTAAAGATTTTTACATCTAAGACTATTCACAGGGGTGCTTAGGCCAAATTTTGAGAAGCACAAGTGCCCCTCCGTTCCTTGCCTATTTAAGTAAAGTTATGTAATTGTCCTGATTTGGTCTGAGTTTGGAAGACTTGCTGACAAATGGCATGCTCTAACATGTTCTTTTGGGAGCAGAATTTTTAAAGATGAAGCCCACATTAGAGCCAGAAGGAACTCAAATGGCAGTTGCTTGTATGCTGCATCGGTGGCAGCAGAAGGATACAAAGCTACCTTTAGCTTTTGCCTCTGGATGTGCCAGCTGAGGCTGTACCCTGCATCAGAATAAGACCTGGAATTTGATTATAATTGTTGCTTGCTGTGTGACCTTCAGCAAGTTACACAATCAGTTTGAGCATCATGGTAGTTATCTTCTTGTTCCCATTGGTAAGATGCTTTTAAACTCGTGAGACCTCACTTGGAGTATTGTGTGCAGTTCTGGTGTCCTCAACATAAAAAGGACATGGAACTGTTGGAACAAGTCCAGAGAAGGGCCACGAGGATGATCAGGGGACTGGAGCACCTCCCATATGAAGATAGGCTGAGAAAGTTGGGGCTGTTCAGCCTGGAGAAGAGAAGGCTGCGTGGAGACCTCACAGCAGCCTGCCAGTATCTGAAGGGGGCCTATAGGGATGCTGGGGAGGGGCTCTTCATTAGGGACTGTAGTAATAGGACAAGGGGTAATGGGTTAAAACTTAGAGGCGAAGTTTTGATTGGATATAAGGAGGAAGTTCTTTACTGTAAGGGTGGTGAGGCACTGGGATGGGTTGCCCAGGGAAGTTGTGAATGCTCCATCCCTGGCAGTGTTCAAGGCCAGGTTGGACAGAGCCTTGGGTGGCACGGTTTAGTGTGAGGTGTCACTGCCCATGGGAGGGGGGTTGGAACTTGATGATCTTAAGGTCCTTTCCAACCCTAACTATTCTATGATTCTAAATATCTTTATAGATAGTGCTGGGAAAATAAGCGTCATTATTCCATTATATAAAATTGAAAGCAGATTCTGTTGGTTTGGGTCCAAATATTATTACATGGTTCATATGTTAAATCTACTACTACTACTAGTAAACATAGAAACTTAAAACTAAATGAAAAACTTTCACCACTTCTGCTTATGGATCATTTTAGTGCATGCTTTACAATACCTGCCATTTGCTTTCCTTCTTACCATTTTATTGCAGCAGAACCCACAAGGCAACCAACAACCAAGCGGAGAAAAAGGAAAAACTCTACCAGCAGCACTTCCAACAGCAGTGCTGGGAACAACGCAAATAGTACCAACAGCAAGAAAAAGTCAGCTGCTGCAAACCTGAGTCTATCAAGTCAGGTACCTGTAAGTCTCACCTTCCTTTTAGGCCTGAATCTCTTATGGTGCTTTAATTTTTCCCTTACATTGTAAAGAAGGTGCATTCTTGAGCCTAAACTATCACGAGCAAAAAACGATCTTGCACAGTGTGCTGTGGAAGCTGGGGTATTAGTAGAGAGATATGAAGAAGCCATTCTGCAGTGCAGATTTAATGAATGACCCTCAAGCAGGGGTATATTGAGGAGAAGATGTGATTTTTTTTTTAAGGTCTGGGCCAGGTCCCCTTCTTGTCAGTAGGAGTCCTTCCACTGGTGATGGGACTCAGACTGGGCCTCATGTTCTTAGATATAGCATGAGTCTTGCAGACTTCCACTTGCCAGGTGCTAAGAGAGGATAAGTCTCTGTGGAACAAGACAGCCATACCTGAGCTGACCTCCGGTGTCCCTACATTAGTACCTTACCTCTAGTCTGTGCTGGGTTCAGGTGCTTCAGTGGAACAGGTTATGAATTTACTTACCTGCGAGGTTATCTCTTTTTCCAACCACTCCACTTTCAGAAGGTCGATCCCCTGGAATGTGGGTTTCAGCTTATGCACTCTGCTAGCTGTAACTGTTGACATCCTAATTATACAGGGAAATACCAATTCATTTCCAGAACCGTACAGCACTTTGACAATGTCACATTTATTGCCTTAGTCACAATATAGGGGAAATCAGACCCCAAATTGTAACAAAGCGCGCTTTAGTTGATAAGGAAATAGCTTATGTATTTTAAGGCTAGGGAAATTAGCTTGATATTATAGAAAATACAAAGTGGTATCTTGAGAACAACATGCAGGGATTTTTATTGAATTTCTGATCAGAAGATAGGAAAGGCCTGGTCTCCTCTGAAGCCTGACAGAGAATATAGGGCTTTTGTTAGCACAAAGCAGGCACTTCCTAGGAAGTTTGAATACCCAGATAAAAAAGAGGACTAGACTAACACCAGTGAAATGAAATGAAGGTTTTTTTGTTTAGCAACTGATTCAGCAATCCGCTAGCTTACAGAAGCTTTGGGTTTCAGTGCATTAAACTCATATTTTCTCCTTGTCATATTAAAATTTTCGTGTGGCTCGCATCCCTGGAGTCAGATTCTTTCCCTAATATAGGCATCTCTGGGTTTTTCTGGCAGCACAAAGCAGTCTGAAGGCCAGTTACCTGATCCCCTGGTGCCAGGGACCACTCTGCCTCACTGACTCTGTCTGCCAGAAAACTCCTTGGATCAATAATCAACCATATTTAAGAAAAATCAGCAATTAGGTGCAAAACTGAGCAATCAGCTAGTTTCCTGCTGTCTCCAAGTTTAAAGGACAGTAAACTCATTTTATCTTGGCTACTCCCTGCCCCAAGTTCAGCTCAATAGGAGTAGACTCTGACCCCCTGCCTCTCTTCAGTCTGCTTCTCCCTGGAGAGATGGCTTTTGTTGGCTTCAGCGGTAGCCATGTGTACTTGTATGTTTGAGTGTAATTGAGCCCTTTGAAAGTTACCTGTCACTCCCAATGATATTCAAGCTGACATCAGGTACTGAAAGGCTACTCCTGCCAGATGAAGTAGTTAAGGCTATTCTTCCTGATGGAGATATTTGAGCATCTGAGACATAATGGTGAAGTTTATCATGAAATACAGGGATGGGCTTTTAGTCTTCATTGACTTTTCAGGATGCTGCATAGTCAATATTTTCCAATTTGTTTTCTATACCAGAGTAGCAAGATGGTCCCAACTCTTTGTAAGGAAGAACAGGTTCCATTTTTAGGACTCTGAAAAGTGGAAAAAGCTCAGCTATTTGATTTGACATACAACAGCTCTTCTCACAGCAAAGATAGCAAACCAGATGGAATTAATGGTTGGGCCACCCTCTAGAGTAGACAGGACTCAAAATAATTTTAGCAGTAGGATATTTTGGTGTAAAACTATTCAACACTTTTCAGTTAAATAGCAAGATGTTTCTTCAAAATTATGCATTCTTTGAAGTGGGCCTTATTACAGGCATGCCACTGCTTTCTGAAGGTAGCTGCAGGTAGCAGTAACTTGCTTTCTAGTTCTTTCACATAAGTTTACCTTACAGCTAATAATTCTATATTAATGCTTGATTTCCTCTATATGCGATAGAAGACAACCTCAAACACTATTTGATTGTTTTCAATTAATCAAAAGCTTCATTTGGCCATAGAGCTTTCTGTGAGTGGGACTTTCATGCTCAGTACAAAAAAATCTTGTGAAATCATTCTTTTACACTGGTAAGAGCATTTTCGCGCTCACTAGAGAAGGGGAATGACATCACTGCATCTTCTGTCCAGATGACTCACATAACTAGAGCTAGTTTCGATTCCATTTTTCCCATATTCTTCTCTGGAGAATCCTAACAATGAGCTCACATCCATACCAGACCTGGATTAATATGAAGTCATGTACTTCAGCTTTCTCTTTTTCTCCAGTGATTTCTTCCCAACCAGCACACTCTGTCTACCATAACAGAATTTAAATCCTACTTTCCTGTCACTTTTATGCTTATGTGTTGTTTTCTGTTTGATAATAAATTAATCCTGGTTAGATAATGCTTGCTTATCCTCTATTCTATGTAATGTTTCTTGGTTTAGGACATCAGTAATTATTCTGTTTCCCTCCTGTAGTAATGTTGTATACACTCTGGCAAAGATGTGAACTTCACATATACCTTACCCACAGTTCTCATTCACACTATTAACTTCTCTTTCTTTAACGAGGTGTTCATGTCTGGAAAGGCAAATGTACCATGTGACTGGAAAGCAGCTGGAGTACCATCAGCTGTGACAAAGCTTGAAACTTCAGGGAGATTTGTCATTTTCCCATAACCCCTTCCAGTTCTTCAGATAAATACATGGGGGTAAGCAAACCCCCAACGAGATGGAACAGTAATTGTCACATACATGTTCTTCTTCAGGAATATGAGGTTGTGACATTTCCTCTACCTGCATTATTTCATGTTCTTCAGGCAGGGACAGTGCTGACAACAGAGTCAAGCCCAGAGACCGCAATGATGTGGTTGTATCTCCATGCATGCGTCAGATAGATTGGCACTGCACCCTGAAGTTCAGTTGCTGAACCCTAATTCATCAGTATCATTTGTGCCCTTTGTGTTGGCTTAAATTTATTAGCACTTTGACTGTGCTGACACATTCTGATACATTTTTAATAACAGAGTCTTCAAAAACATCTTAAGGGTCTCTGCCAGTGGGTGGGTATGCATCTTCCCTCTCATCAGTAATTTGAGAAGGGTCAGTCTCTCTCTGTCCTCATATCTCTAACTACTTTTTATATTTTCTCAACCCTCTAAATAAAATACAGTGGTTTTCCCTTTGACAGTCACTTGCACTCTATTACACTAATTTTCCCTTGTAGTGGTAGGAAAAACAGTGGTTTCTGTGATTCTGATAGTGCCCATGCTATTGATGGCAGACCTTCAGCATCTCTTGTCAATCCCAATCTCTTGAGACATTCCTTGCCTAAGTGCCTGGTTGTATATTACACGTTTCTTGCATTCTTAAAATAAAAGCAGTTAGCCAGTGTGCTACGTGATTGCACTTCACAACTCATGCCTATGTTGACCTATTACTTGTCCAGTGATGCTATTAACCTGAATCCCAGAGATGTTGATGCAACACACTGAAGAGTGTTGGAAGTAGAACCAAGTGTCACTAAAGTTACTCCAATAGCAGAAATATAGAAGCATTTTTCTCACCAGAAGTTTTCTTCTCTCAGGCCATCCTTGGAGCAGGCTCCATACTGCCCGTGCTTTCCACAAATACATTGGCTTTTTTTAGTGCATAAGGAAAGCTGAGACAACAGGAACCAGAAATTGTAGTCCCCTCAACTGTCTTAGTCTCAATAGCTGCCAGTCATTTGAAAAGTACTTAGATTCATTTGTGTTCTCGATCACATATGAACTTTGGAAGAAACGTTAACTCATTGGGCAGAAACTGGAATTACCGATTTCCTCTTTCCTCAAAATTAAGATCAAAGATGGGCAAGACTCCTTCTGCAAGGTTCACAGAAAACATGGCTTTCTAATATTAGCCTATGATTTCACAGAAGTTAGTTGTCTAATTCGGGTGTGTCAGTACCTTGTCACTTGCACAGTACTAATCTCTTCTGTTTGAAGCTAGCTGCAATGTTTTCCCAAATCTTTGCTCAGTTTTCAAGCCTCTTGACTGGCTGAAATTGCATTCATTTACATTTTTCATATTCTTCTGTTTCAAATAAAACTTTCTTGCAAGCTCAGACTCTTGTACATAGAACAGTGACTTGTACACAGGGATCTGTACATTATAGGTAGTACCTGCATGCTCATCAGGAGGGGTCCATACAGCTATTATCACTTAAGTATAACTTTCTCCTAAGTTCAGTGAAAACAGTGCACATTGATCCATATTCATCTATTTGAATTTGGAAATTTGACAGCAATGCACAAATCTCACAAATTCTGAGAACCATTGCTCTAGGCTGCTCTCAGTCATAACCATAGAAATTAATAGGTGGATTTTGCTTTCATTTACTAATGAAGATCCTGTTGAGTGTAATACTATAACCATGAACCCAGTGAAGTATCATTTGCTTTGGAAAGAATAAAGCATCATTACATGCCACTAAGTAAATCAAATGTTCTTTGTTACATCCAGTGTCTTGATTAGAGCCTCCTTGCATGGTGGTGGGTTTAGGTGGTTTCTAGCAGATGCTGTAGTACCAGAGCAGCAATGCCAAGGCCAGAAGATTAGTGTCAGAGATTATCCCATGTCTCAGAACCGTGCAATTAAGATTCTAAGATTTAGCTGTAAGGAGGTAAGAGTGAGCAAATTGTTTTCCAGTTTTGACACTTTATGAAAAATATTCCAAACAAGACCAGAATGTCAAGTTAACAGAGAGGGCCATGATGAGATGTGAAAGATAACCATTTTCCTCTACAAAGTATTTACTCTGAAACCTAATTAAAACGTCAGTTCTGTTTCTATAGATCATTTCAACACTAGCGTCAGTCTGATGCTTTTGTCTTGGGAGCAGTGACCATTATGGGTGTGGGCAGCAATGGGGCTTTCAGTCGTTAATAATTTTTGTGACAAGGAGATAAGAAGTCAATTATTGAAATAATCACCACTCATGCAGTTCCATAAGAAGGAAGGAAAGCAGGAGGAGGTACCCTTGTTCCTTTGACTTAGCACTTAGGGGCATGCTGGCTGCTAAAACTAGTGCAACTTTCAATCCTTGGAGTATGAGACTTGCTCAAACAACACACCTGATAGTTTCAGGCGTTTTAAATTACCTCAGGCTTGTGAAGCACTGTTTGTGTACTTCTGGGGACTGTGACATCTGATCTACCAACTGATCACTGATCAGGGCAGAGCAGCAAAGACAGCAGGCATAGGGATGGGGGATTTTAAATGGCCCACCACACATTTTTACCACCACGCTACAGTAAGGCATTGTGTAGCCATAGAATGATCTTTAAGATCCCAAGTTTAAAAGTTTATTTATGTAACTGGGCATAGTTGAGCTAAACTTTGAGGCTAGGTATAGAAAAGATGAAGCCTGAGAAATGACCGGTCTGTTAAATAGAAGTGCTTGCATTTGAGTTGTGTATGAAGTATTTGCTGTGTGTAGTTCATATGCATCAATTTAAGTTTGGATGGCAATTAGGGTTATTTCAGGATGTAAGGTATGATATACGTGAAAGCTGCTTTTGTGGTTATATTATTAAATTTCTATCACATAATGTAAAACATCCACTGCTTTATTTACAGTGCTTCACTGAAACCATATTTTACTATCATGAGACATTCCTTGACCAAAAATGTTGTTTCTAATCACAAAATAAATTAAGATTAAGTGACTACAGTCTAAATCATTTTTTAAACTAACCTAGTCAAATATGTACTACCATAACTAGGCCATAGCAGTGTATGCTGCCATGCAAGAGACTAGGGTTTAATTCTTGGATTCTGCTTCTCACTCCATGAGCAGGAGCTAGGAGCACTCCAGAGCTGCAGCCTCAACCCTGGGAGGGATGGAGCCTTGTGTCATTCAACAGCAGTGACCCCCACTGGCCAATTTAAGGAGAAGCATTGAGGGGCTCTAAAAGGAGTCACTTCCAGTCCTCCTCAGAGGTTGGTGGTCATTGCACGGGATCTAGTGAGTGGAGGTTCAATGGGGTGCACTCGGTGGGGTCTTCAGCTTTCAGTCTGAGGAGCAGAATCCTCTCTGGGGAGGAACCAGCATGTGCGCTTCCTGAGACACTATTTTTGCCTGACATAGCTATAAGTGCCAAGATTGTCAAGAATATATATACTATTTTTTCAAATGTCCTGTAACTAATGCTGTGATATCTATCTTTCAAGTAGAACAAGGAAAAACTCCACTAACCTCAATAGAATTGTAGTTTCATTCCCAGAGAGACAGAGAGATCCTCAATCGCATGAAGAGAAGTGCAAACTGTCCTCTCAGTGGGTGTCATTATAATAAAGGAATTTTATTTGTAAAGAATCTTAGAAATCAGAGCTGGACATACTTACAAGGTCATTGAGCATCTCCCCGCTGATGCAAAATGTTTCCCACCACAGACTGAGATTTTCCCAGCCCAGTGTTAGGTGACCTGAGCAGCAAAGCTAGCACTGTTCCAGTGGGGTCATTAATCCTCAGTCTGCAGTTCTCAGTAACAGGAATATTGTCTTAGCAGTTGGGATTACATTTCCATTTACTTAATGTCATCTTAGTACCCTAGTTCATAGCTCATCAGATTGGCCTAAAGTGGTCCTCTTCCTTTCAGCACTTGCAGCTGTTAAGCACGTTTACCCCTCCCAATCATTTGGTGAATGTAATACATATTTAATTCCTTCACATGGCCTCCCCAGTCAGCTGTTCTAGCTCCACAGTTATTTTTGATGCACATCTCTAAGTCTCATCCAAGTTGCTGACCTTTGGCTAGTATGGCAACAGGGAGAACTTGAGGTCCATAGTCAAGTGTTGAAGTAAGAGGAACTGTTGCCACCTAGGTCTGTGATTCTGTATTTCAGCCACTGTGGTCCTTTTTGCCTGCCATATCACACTGCACACTCAAACCCAACTTGCTGTCCTCTGACAGGTCTCTCTTGTCATTAATGCTCTCACCATAGAATCGGGTCAGGTCTGGTTCAGCAGTGCACACTACACACTGTCTGTTGTTTAGAGGGGTGGAATAAATTAGAATAAACTTTTGGTTATAAACACCTTTGTCTTTTAAACTTCTATGTCGCAAAGCTATCTGTGAGTTTTATTTAACCTAACATTTTATATCTATATGGAGTTAACAAAATATAGACAATGTAAAGAAGAAATCATGCAACAGTTTCCATCTACTCACAAATTTTTCACATAGCACAGGCTGAAAATATGATATAAACATTCTTTTGTAGCATGTCAGCCTTTGCTGAGGGGTATGAGAAACTGTAAATACTTGCAGGCAACAACTGGTGTTGTTCATGGTGAACGAGGTACATAGCTGATTAAAAAGAAACCTTATTAAATGCAAACATTTGTCTTCTGTTTGCTTTTTATAAATGCTTTTACATTCCTAAGGAAGAACAGATCCTTTAAAATATGAGTCTATTGATGGCTAGGATTCTTGGAAGGGCTTGTTAAATCAGCAGGTACAAAGCTAGACATCTGGAATTACTGCACTTTTACCAAATGCTAGCTGATGCCCTGCCACCTGAGCTGCATGAAAAGATGCATCCCACATATTTCTGTAGCAGTTAGCACAGCAGCCTGATTCTCCATTGAACAGAGAGAACAAGAGAGCTCTCTGGCTTTGCACCTTTGCTTTCCAATCTCAAGTTTGCACCTTTCTATCCCATGCTGCTTAGGTTTTTTGCAGCAAATCTGTGATGCACTGGAGTACAGTAGGCGGTTTACTTGTTTTCATGGAAGGACAATTTGTACTTAAAGCAGTGATTAGATGAATTCTTTCTTTCTTGCATGCTTCATTTTTTGATGACTACTAGCTTCATCAGTGTAATTATAATTAGCACTCTTCATCTTCCTTTTATGGTACCAGCTGGACAGATTGGTCCTCTTACTGCACAGATTGGCGGCAGGGTTGCCTACATGGAGTTAGGTGACAGGCACCATGAAATAACAGATGGTAAATTCAGGGCTTGTTGGCAATCAGCAGGTTTTTGCTAATGACTTAATTAGCTATGCAAATTGTCAAATCAGTGTGAACATTGTTTTTATCGAAAACTTTACCTAAATTAATTACCATAATTAAGTAGCAGAATGTCAAGTATATTGGATGCGTAAAAGGGCTTGGCTGACTTGGATAAGAGTTACCATCTTTATTAGAGTGCTGTGCTCCGCATTGGAGATGTCTAAGAAATGTGGTTTCTTTTAAACTACTTTTAAAATACGCATCTCGCCAAGTTCCAGCCGAGACACACCCTGATGCCTTTCCAAATAAAATGGCTCAGGAAAGAATTACTGGATGAAGGCTAAATATTTCAAGCAGGAGTTTAAGGCCTGCTTATTTGCTTAAAATCATGCACTTGTTTCAGACTACCAGCTTTTCAGTTCTGGGGTTTCTGAGATCCAGAGCCATAAGCTCTAGAGAGATGTGTTACTAGAGAGATGTGTTACACCTTTTCATTAAAATTAGCAATAAAATGTAAGCCTGTCTCCTGGTTCCTACTATGCAGGAACTTTTAACTCTGTTGTTCAAATGTCACAAAGTTAAGAGATGCAAATTCTCTAACATGATTTTTTTAAGTTGATTTTTTCTCTCTCAAGGTTTCCATATAACAAATATTGGGTGCTGTTCACAGGATGTGATGGTGGTAGGAGAACCAACTCTGATGGGCGGCGAATTTGGGGATGAAGATGAAAGGCTTATCACTAGATTAGAGAATACACAGTATGATGCAGCAAATGGCATGGATGATGAAGAAGATTTCAACAATTCACCTGCACTGGGAAATAACAGCCCGTGGAACAGCAAACCTCCTGCTAACCAGGAGACTAAATCTGAAAACCCCACACCACAAGCTTCCCAATAGGTTATTCTGCAGCAGTACCCACTGCAGTGTATGTCAGTGGGTTATTAATTACTGTTGCACAGCATTCCTCAAAGTAAAATCTAAAAACACACCTTTCAATGGATATCATTTCAAAGTATCTCTTTCTAAACTAAAGCTATCCAACTTTTTTAATTAGGGAAAAATCTTGTATAAGCTTCCATATAAATTTCTTGGAAGCATTCACATGCAATGTGATACTGGCACTGACCTCAGTTAAAATAATTGAAAATTAAATAGCATCTCATGGCAAATTTCTGACAATGTATTTTATTGGAAGGGGTTGTTTTTTTCCTCATCAAACAATGGCCATATTGAAACAAGTCATCAGTGCTCAGGATCTCATTAAGGTAACTATGTAAAACTTTTTACAATTGTAATATATTTTCTGCTTTTCAACTTGCACCTGAAATTTCTTGTTTCAGAAAAAGATCAGTTTTTAAGGAAAAGTAATTTAAAGTAACTTTTGTTCTTTCCTTAACTTTTCTTTCATCGGTTAAACATTTCAAGGATCCAGCATTTTTCATTTACGTTTAGCTGATGCCAGTAGATTCTCGTTCCATCATTTAATACAAAAAACTGAAACAAGAAATGTCTTTTTTTCATCGAAGACATGAGAAATATTTTTATGTGGAAAAAGACACCCAGTCCTATGAGAGTTTATGCTTTGTAAAATTGCTGTCGATCCAGATATTTTAAAGCCATGTAATCCATTAACTTTGTGGGCAGCTTAATAAATCTAAAACTTTTGTGTTTTTGTTATTGTACCTGAGTTGGCTTTGTTGTTATTTCTTTTCATAGTATATTTCTTGTATAATATTTTTGTAAAGCCCTCAAACCTTTTTCTGGTTTACCTTTTTTTTTCTTTTTGGTTTTGGTTTTGGGGTTTTGGGGGGGGTTGTTTTGGTTTGTTTTTTTTTTTATTATTCTGGTGTATTTATGTGAAACTTTATAAGAGAAACTAATTTTTTTCATTTGCATATTAATATGTTCAACTCATCATGTAAAGACACAGTGAGTCAGTGTGTTATATAATACAACTGTATTTTATGTATGCTTTGCCAATAAGTGTGCCAATAAACTGTGTTAACAAATATGCTCTTATATGGTACATTTACAGTTCCTTGCATGCAAAAGACACAAACCCATGTGCAGGATGATGCACCAGGAATTTTTAGAATTGGTGTTTCACTGAATTACAGTCTTCTTCCAGCAGAAAAGGAAGTCTACATTTCAGGTGTGAATCACTTACAGCTCAATTTGGTTAGAAGCTCTTTTCTAACATTAATGATGTGTAACACCCTGGGTAGGTAGCATCAGTGAGAGCTGAGCACAAGGGAGTGAGGACATCTAGCAAGCGCCCCTCCACAATGAACTCTGCATCCCTCGCCTTCTAGGGCTTGGGCTTATCAGAGCAGGGATTTCCACTCTGCTGAGTTCTGTCTCGTAGTTTTATGATGAGTCCCTCAACGGGGGCTGAGAGGGTTTTAAGAATTCTCCTTTTTTCTTCCCTTTGCTGTCAAATCACTTGTTCACAGGAGCAAGCAAAGCCCCTGGGCTGGTGCAGCCACTCTGACTACAGCCCAGTGTGTAAAGCCCCTCGGCTGAGCCCAGAGGCACCCACCTGCATCCCAAGGCAGCTGAGGAGCCCTGCAAGGTGGCAAATGCAGGGAGAATTACCAACACAGAGATACTGAATATACACAATCCTGCCTTTTGTGCAGGGGAGTGAGGTTTTGGTCTTGACTGAAACTGTACTTTTAATATTGCTGACATCGTAAAAGCATCTGAAGAGCCCCTGTTTTATTCTCTGAGTTGCAGTACGTATACCCAGAAGCCGCTCTAGGGAAATGTGCCTCCCAAACATGCATACATACTATTTAATCATGCTTTTGCTGAATGTGATTCCAACAAACGGTTTTGAAACCACCTTTGGAGAAGATATACAGGACAAAGGGACCCTGCATGGCCACTTCAGCAGGAGTCATCTCCCTCCCTGCCTGAAGGATGAACCTCAGCTGCCAACATGGGCCCTGTTCTGCAAACAAAATCCTCCTTTGATGAACTTTGGTACCTATAATAGGCCTTACAGGAAGATAGCCTAAAAGGCACTACAGGATTCTGTAGGAACTGGAGCACAAGGATATCGACTGTAGGGTAGAATTTACAGCTAAATAGCAAACATGACTGAGTGCATCAGCATAGATAGCAATGTCGCTCCTTCATAGCATTTGCAGGAGCTACGAAAGTGTAGGTCTATCATTCAGTGACTATATCAGCCCCAATTTTTCCATGTAAATAATCAAATTCACAATGTATTCCATTAAGGCTCCTATATAGCTGATATAACATTACAATTATCCACTGTAATTCTAATGTTCAAAAACACTAATCATTCGTATTACTTTTCCATGAGCACATTCTAAAAGGCGTTGCTTAGTATTAATCTTTCATAACTGGCACTACTATTTCAATTTTTAAAAGATTTATGGTGTCATATTACTCCTGTTGTTTCAGTAAATAAAAACAGGAACACTTGAAAAATGGGTAACAGACTCCTTAGAGTGCCGTCCTTGAATTAATCTGGAAGGACACTTTCTCCATATCTCCTCAAAAACCCTGTCTACCAGCTATCAATCCACCCTATTGTGCTTGGGGTGAACAACAGACGGAGCTAGCTGATTTTATTTATTCACTTATTTATTCATAAAAGAAATGTGCAAATGGGCCGGCTCAGTGAAGTGGTTTGAGGTGGGCAGCAGCTGACCACGCAGCCTCGGCATTGCTGCTTCCTTCAGCCCTGTGCCCTGGGCTACTACATGAGCTTTTCTTACCATGTTTGAAATGACACAGTAAACTCATCGAGGAGACTGTGTTCATGTGTCTGAACCCATGTGTTTGTGCCTTGTCCTTGGGAACACTCCCTACAGGTAGAGAATTAAGGTACAGTGATCACGTTAACTACTGGACTTTATGCCTTTTGGGTGTGGGTTGCAGTTAAATGACACTGCAGCTCCATAACTATTTGGTGCTGAAAGTAGAAAACGTGAATAAAGATCGCAGGTGAGTTGAAGTAACAAGTTTATGAGAGCTGTGGTTGCAGCCTGAAGAATGAACGCTTGAAACCAACAATTAATTTTACTGTAATCTAATCTCACCACCTACAAGAACATTGTACCTCTCTCAGAAATTGGAAGGAAATAATGCTGTTGAGACTTTCCTCTGGGGAGCCCTGCAATTATTAAAAGGAGGAAGGAAACTTATCTCATGATGCTGAAATACATTCAAAGAGAAAGCTCTTGTTTGTTTTAGCAAAATGGAGGGAAATGCTGGCCCTGAGAAATGCCCTCACAAATCAGAGAGAGGAAATTCCAGCAGTTTACTTAGAAAAGGAGAATCACATCATTAATAAAGTGACTAAGAGCACTGATAACTGAGCTGGTTGCTGTTTCAAAGGACTTGGACCATGCAAGAGCCATAAGCACTAGTGGGTTTTGTTATTCTTGGAATTCCTTTGTTTAGGAATCTTAATATTGTTTTGGGGCTTGGGTCAGCAGAGTGCCCTTCCCGGAGAGCTCCCACCTCACATGAGCCACGGGCTGGTCTCACCAGCTGCACCTCGTGAGAACACAGCAGTTCTTAAAGCTCCTACTTTCTCCCTTTTCATAAGCAGGATTTGCAGCTTTGTAGTCTTTTCAGAAAGAAGGTATCCTCATGTTTCATCATCTATGCATTGGTGTGTATGAATGTAATAAGGCTGTAGGATAATTCACTCTGGAAGGGACCTTGGGATTTGTATACTATTTGTATGCTTGCAGCATCATGAGGCTCTGTGAAAGTCATGAGTGGCTGATTTGTAACCTTGGTCCTGAAGAAGGTGATACACTCACACATTAGGGAAGTGTAGCCAACTTACGCCCTTGGGGAACAGAGCAAAAGTACCCAATGACCAGAGAGCTGCCAAGGAAAACAAGTCATGAAGTGTGTAGAAAGAGATGGGGCTAGAGGGGAAGGAAACCTCTGAATGGAATGGCAAAACACTGGGCATTTCTGGGTTTTCTCTAAGAGAGAGGTTCCTTGCCCAGCTTCTGCTGCAAAACACCATTAAAGGAGCCTAAATGATACAAGAGTTGTAAGAACAGGCTAAATTTTGCAATTTCATGACCTCCATGAAAATCCCATTTTAGCAATGACAGGATGAAAGAGAAAACATGGATGATTGATATTGAAGGAAACCCAGTTTATGCTAATATATCCTGGAGAAACTGCTAATGGAAATTGAATAGTCCTGAAAAAATTTACTGAGACTGCAACTCTGATCAAGTAGCCCTATGGTGATATATTGCATGTCCAAATTAAAGCTGCCCTGGGGCGCATGTAACCCCAGCAGTTGGATTTACTGTGTGGGACTGGATGATTTGTATGTTTTTTCTTGCTTTTTGACAGTATATTTTTATACAAGGCTAAGGCCCAAATCTTCTACTATGTAAGAGGAGTTACTGAATATTTAACATCCCATAGAACTGATGTTATGCTGGTGTATCATTATGCTTCTACCAGGAAGTCTGGTGGTATCCCAGCATTGGAGAATGGCAGATGGTACCTTTGGATAAAGAATCACTTTTGGAAGTCTCTAAATGTATGGACCATGCTGCTGTGTTTCATGAGAAAATATGAATTTCCACTGAACATTCACAGTATTAAAATCTGTTCTAATTTAGTGTGTTATTTTGACAGCCACTAGTACCCTTTCTTTTCAAGGGAGAGTCTTTATTAGGAACAGTGATGGAGCAATCTAACTGCAGGAGCATTTCTTCTATGACCCTACGAATCAGTTCTGAAATAAAAGAGCTATATCCCTTACACCAAGAAATAATTTTAATGTGTCTATGGGCAGTCTTAATCCATAAGCACAATTTAAAACACCATTATGCAGTAAAGATGACATCAGAGAATAATATACTTGTGCACACAGAATCAAAACTTTATAAAAAGCATCTAGGCACAACAGAGCACAACTACCCCAGCTCCTGACTGTGCTTCCATCAACTTTACAAGGAACAGGAAGAGATTGATAAGCTTCTGTTTGGATACGTTACTAAATGCATCCCAGATAGCTCAGGTGCTGAATGCCATTACAGTACATTAGTGGGAGAACACGCTTCAGCTGAATGCAGATAAATGTCCACCCAGGGTGCTTCCATGCCTGTTGGACATTCCCACTTAGGATCCTTTAAGTCTGTGCTCGTAAGTGGAGTCTAAAACTCTTCAGGTTGTTTTCCTTTTCTTTCTGTGCATGGCTGGGGGGGGGTTTACAAGGGTGGAGAGGTTTAAGGTTTGGGTTATTTTTGTTATATTTTCACAGTCCTTTATGGTAAAAATGCTTCTCAGGTGTCCAAGATCTTGCCAGTTGTGATATGGCATGAGAACAGTTGTTAGAGTGTGTTTGGGGATAGGGGAGAGCAACGCAGTTCTTATTTCATGCTAAAATGAATTCTGTCTAATCTCTGGAGATCTTCAAGTTGTGTATTGCCCCAGTTTAATTAATAGCTCTGTCTCAACAACTCTGAATTCATCTGAGATACTATGTATAATTATATATTGAACAGCTATAATGTATAAAGTTAGCGTCTCCTTTGTAAGTGCATTAGGAAACGTTTTAGCAAATGTTTGGTATGAAGCAAGCATTTAACACTCCTTATCACATTCGTCTGCAACCCTCATTTCATCACATAGAGTTTTATCCTCCCTGAGTGATCTCTTGGGG